GTCGGAGGGGGCGACCCGCGCCGAGGTGGAAACCGTTGGGCGCATCTGTCGGAAGTAGCGACTACTCTTCTTCGGAATGGTGCGACGGGATTCGTAAGGGTTTAGCTTCTACGTGCTTGTACGAATGATAGAAATGTGTCGTCAGTGATTAAAGGAATTTCTGATGGTAGGGTTCGTTCGAAAGTGTATGTTTGGATGGAGAGGAATTGGGAAGCAAATGTTATATCTTTGGTATCGAACGATGAGGCTCCTCTTCGTCAGGGGGGCCCAAATTTGTTCGCAGCTATAATAACTTCCAGGGGCATCGTCGTAGTTATTTCAATGCCTACGTCTATGCACACCCTGTATCTAAGTTGTATGTATTAATGGAGAGATGATAGCGTGCACCATAGTATAATATATCAGCAAGAACATCCAAAGATTGGCAGCAATAGTCTAGTAGCTATAATAATTTCTAAAGGTATCATCACCTTCTACTTCAAAGTGTATGTCTATATAATGTCTCTACCCAAAGTGTACATAGTAGTGTACATAGTAGTAGGAGAAGTGACAGCATGCACCATAATATAATTTATCAGGAACATAATCTAAAGACCTGGCATTTGTTCAATTGTCAGCTATGGTCTAGCAGCTATAATAATTTCCAAATGCATCATCACCTTCTACTTCAGAGGCTATGCTTATATGAGAAGCCTGTATTCAAAGTCTATAAAACAATGGAGGGCTAATAACATGCACAGTAGTATGATATCTCAGCAAGAGCATGCAAAGACTGACAGCAATGGTGTAGCAGTTGTAATAACTTCTAAAGGTATCATCACCTTCTACTTCAAACACTGTCTATACGAAATGTAAACCCAAGGTTTATAGAGTATCTGAGATCCAGTATGAAGCACCATCAGTATTTGAATCCAAAGATTTGCCTTCATCTACCACCGTCCAATCAAGAATCTCACAAAAACCCACTGCTCAGCACGTTTCACCCCTGCTCCACCCCTGAAGAGCGTCACCCTTATCATCCTTATAATACAAGTGACACTGATCGTTCTGTGAAGACACAACCTATCGGCCAATTTATATTATCTGTTGCAACCATAACTGAAGATATTTAATCTATCTGCGTTGAAAAAACCGAATCGGGACCAGAGAAAACTGAGAACCATAGTACAGGAATTGAAGATTCCCAGAGAAGAGGACGACCGCGTTGCTTAATTTTCGTGTTGCTCGCTTCTGGGACGGAATTTCGGATGTGCTCTAACCGCGCCGCTATTCGTTGTAAATTATGTAGCGATCATGGGACCGCGTTCGTGGCTCCGCGTTATCGCGGTCTGCTGTTTGACTTAACTAGGCGGCAGTGTTACTAAATGGCACACGTGTCCACACATGGCGCAAGCGGGTACAGTCTGGGCTCTCCCAACGCGTGGAATAAAGAAATCGAGTGCAGTGTCGAGACTTTCGACCATTCGACCATCGGCATAGCTGTAGCATCCGTACTTTTGAATGCTTGGGACTTTTTAGTCCGTGGGAAACAAAATCAATTGTAGCACGTTGACTTCCATATGCTAGTATTTATGAACATTTCTATGAGATTAAGCAAACCCTTTAGACGATCGAAGGTTACTTAATCCAATATTTGTTATTTCTATAACATCTTGGAAATTCACGATTTATTTTCTTCAAACTTTTGTCACTTACATGGGGCGAGATGAAAAGGTATGGTTGGAAATGAATTTTACGAAAATTGTGTAACTACAGAAACGTAATTATTTATTGTTGCCGGACTATTGCACCATGGCAACATACATGCATCTTATTGTACAATAATAATGGCAGTACAATAGTTGAAATAATCCAAGGATAGATATTTAATATTTTAATGAAAAAAGAGATAAAAATACCTGAAAATAGTTTGTATTGTTTTCTATACTTGCAAGAATCTGCTAATGTACATCTACTATAGTTACACTATTCTTAACAAAAATTGTTTCGAATCTATTATTCACGTTGCTATACTTTACATCTACAAGATTTACGTATACTCAATGACACTTTAGATTTTAGCGTTGACGAACCGATAACTAAACGAATTCTCGACTCGAAAAAAAAAAAAGAAAAAATACCAAATCCGGATGTTTTGATCCGCCACCTGTACTAACGATTACCTCAGGAAATACTGGTTCGCCGGGAGGAGGCCATTATCGTGCCCCGCGATTATTAGAATCTTCCTTCCTGGTCCGGACGTTGTTCGCGAAAGATGGCGGCCTGGAAACAACGGTCGCGTTAGACTCTTCCACCGGAGTAGTGACCGTATAAGACCTCTTCCTGTGCGGGGAATCGTAGAAACCCACGGGTTAAGACGCGCGGAAAAATTGCATGAACTTGCGGACGTTTGAAACACAGTGCCCCACGGTAATGAATGTGGGAGTTTCACACGGGTCAACGGATCGCTGGGTTTTCTAGGGATACACACGAGATACACTTGGAATTTCTCCTGGCGGTGCCCGGCCCCGCACTATATAGCGTGCACGTCCGTAATAAACAGGCTTGATAACTTATGCATTCCAAATAAACGATACGATCTATCTGGCACTGCAATAAATACGACGCGAGCTGGATACGCCGCGGTTATAAATTCGCAAAACATTTTCAGCCGTAGTCTTTCGAGCGACGTCGCGCCGTGGCCCGATAAACTTGTCCGAGAAGGGTCGAAACTTCTCTGGAACGTTTCGATTATTTCGACCTATCGACGGATCTGGATGGTCAGGCGGCCGCGTAACCACCCTGACGCGTAAACCACCCCCGATACCGAAGAACAGAAGGCGAGTCGTGTTCTCTTGCGGATTTCACCATTTTGTTCCCTTGTGGACAAATAGTAGGGTGGTCTGGAAACAATAGGTGGACAAATAAAGGGTTTTTTCGGGGGACAGGGGAGAATAATTGAGAAACTAGTTGTTTGTGGTGAAATTGAGGTAATCAAATATAAAGGATCCAGTATGGGACAAAACAGAGGAAGGAAAAGAATTGTTTTCTGTTACTTCTAGTTTTTAAAGTCAGGAACAAGTGGTTCTCGAATTTGTTAAAAATCCTTTCGAAGGTCTCAGGAGCTGAATAACTACATCAAATATTATTTTTACATCATTATATATATATTTTGTTTCTATACTGTATTCTAAATGCATTAATTCTTGATATTTTGTAATATAACAGTATAGAACAATGCTTTTGGAACATGAATTTTTTTCTGAATGCATGATGCATTTACTTTTGATATTTTGTAATAATGACAACATATAAAATAATGCTCTTAGACCTTGAATTTTATTCTAAATCCAAG